CCCTCCCCCTCTCCCTCCCATTGAAGGGCAGGGGAGTGGCCACGTGACAGATCTGCTCACATGTCATTGGCCAGGGTGTGGCCCCCATGGCCACACCTATTCATAAGGGAGGCTGGGAAATGTAGTTTTTATTGTGCCAAGGAGGGAGTAGGGAGAATGTCGCCCTCACTGTCACAGATCTGCTTCTGGCATTGGTCCTTCATGCTGACATTGGGGGTTGGACGCACTGGGTTCCCCCCAAGACTTTGTCCCCATCAGTTGCTCCTGAGCAGCTGCTCCTGAGGAAGAGGGAAGCCTCCAGCCTGGCTTGCCACCTTGTCCCTGCACCCTTCCAAACCATTGCACCTTTGGGCTTTCCTTCATCCCCCTCTGCCAAGCCTCATCCCTTCTTTACCATCCTTGGGCAGAAGGGTCATTTCCTCCAAGTGGACCCCCTGCCTTTTCACCTATTTTTCGGTTGCACATGTAGCAGCCTTGCTCTGGAAAGACAATGACTGCACTTGAAGGTGGCTGGGCCCTGCAGTGGCCTCTTTGTAGTGACCAAGGGGCTTGGGAGTCCCTCTCTTCCTTTCCTTGAGAGCCCTTCCCTTTCTTAAGTGAACTAACAGGTGAGAGAAACTGCTTTGGGATTGGGGCTGGGGCAACGGAAGGATTTGAGCCATTAAGAGGCCTGTTTCAGAGTCCCTCCCCTCCACTGCTTCGCCCACACCCCTTCGCCCTGCAGCTACGAATAGCCTGTGTTTTTGTACATGTCAAGATGTGTAATCAATCACTATCACTGTGGCCTGGGGGCCCAACCCTCATTCCATCACCCCAGCCTCATGATCCTGGACTTTGCCGGGATTGAGAATACTCAGAAGTCCCTTCCCTTCCAGAGTCTGTCAAGGGGGACTAAGCAGGTCAGTAGTGCGATCAGGTCAGCTCAAGATCAGGCGACCCTCAGACCATCAAAGCTCCCTCCCTGAAAGCAATTCTGGAACCAAAGGGCTGTGCTTGGCACAGGCCCTGCAAAGTTACTAGGGGCAGAAGACAAGGTCACCTATAGATGGAGCTTACTTTCTTCCACCTAAAACGACATTTATGGGGATAATATCTTTTTACACTCATCATGATGTATTGCAGCTACCTTGAACCCAATGAAGATATCACCTGTAATAGTTAATACTGAGTGTCAACTTGATTGAAGGATACAATTCTGGGCGTGTTTGTGAAGGTGTTGCCAAAGGAAATTAACATGCGAGTCAGTGGGCTGGGAAAGGCAGACCCACCCTTAATCTGGCTGGGCACCATCTAATCAGCTGCCAGCACAACTAGAATATAAGCACAGCTAGAAAGGAGCGACTGGCGTAGCCTCCCAGCCTACCTCTTCCTCCCATGCGGGATGCTTCCTGCCCTCAAACATCAGACTTAATAAACTCCCCTATATATATATCTATTCCATTAGTACTGTCCCTCTAGAGAACTGTGACTAATACATTGCCTTACCCCAGAGAACACAAATGTGACTCCTGAAAGTACCGAGCAAGTAAGTGGGAATGTACCACGATGCAAATGCTTTGAAAAACAGCTCCTTGGTTTCTTATGAAGTTAAACACAAACTTAACATGTGATTCAACAATTCCACTCCTACGCATCTACCCAAGAGAAATGAAAAGTTATGTCTAAAAAAAGGATATGTACTCTAGTGCTCATTACAGCTTTATTCATAATGAATCTAAACTGGAAACAGCCCAGATGTCCATCAACAGGTGAATGGATAAACAAGATGATACTGGCCAGGCATGGTGGCTCACGCCTGTAATGTCTGTAATCCCAGCACTTTGGGAGGCCGAGGCAGGCAGATCACCTGAGGTCAATAGTTTGAGACCAGCCTGACCAACATGGTGAAACCCGGTCTCTACTAAAAATACAAAAATTAGCTGGGAGTGGTGGCGGGCCTGTAATCTCAGCTAATTGGGA